TCCTTTCCTCTGCTGAGTTTACCTTTAGCTCCTAATATGAGTGGCTCCTATTTATTATTTAATCAAATTTGTCCCTTTTTTTTTTTTTTTTTTTTTTTTTTTTTTTTTTGGCATGCTAGAGATTGAACCCAGGATGCTTTATCACTGAGGTTCATCCCCAGCCCTTTTTATTTTTCATTCCGAGATAGGGTCTCACTAAATGGCTGAGGCTGGCCCTAAACTTGCCATCCTCTTGCCTGAGCCTCCTCAGTCAGTGGGGTTACAGGCATGCACCACTGTGCCTGGTGCCTCTGATGTATTCTTAACAACATCTTCCTTGTAGTTTTGAGAGCTTTTTTTGGACACCTATCCTCCACCTATTTATAAGTTGTCCATGGTCCCCATTTAGCTCCTTTAATTTTTGGAAAGCTATGTTTTTCCTGTAATAACCTCTTTGCTTCTGATAGATAATAGTGATGTAAATTTAACAAAGTCTAATTAGACTGGTGGATTTTCCATTCACATTGACACCACACAAAATTTGTACTTACCAGCCATGTTCAGCAGTGTCCAGGAAACTGGAAAAAAAAAAATCTGAGCATTTGCAGAAAGCTACTTATCAAAGCACAGGGGGAAAGAGTTTCAAAACTCTTGAAGGCAAATCATAGTTCTATGAAAAATTGATGTAGCATCAAACAATATAGCCTGAGACATTTCAGTGAACTCGTGTTATGAAGGTGTAATTCTTGTGTTTTATACCTGCACACAATAAAAGTATCAGGATTGTCTGAAAAGCCTGCCTCATTACTTAGACTCTTAAATTGCCAGCCTGCATTTTTAAAAGTCACATAAAAGGATGGATTTGTGATAGAAGGAATGCATTGATTTCCTCACATTCTGTCTCTGAAATGGAAAAAAAAATGAGGCAGTATTTGAAAGAACCATCAGGTTCAATGTTTATGACAATAATAAAAACTTTTTAATACCGAATGTTCTAAAATATTTGAATTTTTGTACCAGATACAATATAMGACTGGGACAATAAGTTTATGAAGTGACACACAGTTGTTTGGGAAATAATGAATGCTTCCAAGAAACTCTGGATGGTTTATAAGCAAAATAGACTCTCACGTAGCAATAACAGGAAAAAGAGAATATCACAATCACAATATTTATTCTCAACTAGAGGTAATCTACTTCAGTTTAGGCCAAGTAGCAAGCTCAAGGCCACTCACCAGGAAGTTGCGATCTTGTTTTACTCTAAAAAGTTAGAAGAAGCCAGCAGCATGGTTGATTTTGTCATGGGTGTTGTTGCTGCTGCCAGATGGCCAGGTGTGGAGGGCTCACTCCATTCCTGACACCACCGTCTCTGCTTCACAGGAGACTCCAGGACTTTGGTTTGAATGTTTTCAATTCTACTGATCCCATGTCTCCACTCCCTCTCCCGTTTCTTGTAGACAACCATTCTAATGTACTTTCGATCGTGTGTGTGTGTGTGTGTGTGTGTGTGTGTGTGTGTGTTGTGTAGTGAATATATGCCTGTTATGTGTGGTTCCAAGAACTAAGATGCATCTGTGAATAAAACAAATAAAAACCCCTGCCTTCCTGAGCCTGTATTTATTCTAGTGATGCTTAATTAAAAAAAAAAAAAAGTAGGAAATATCATTAGAGGGTAATGGGTACCATGAAGAAAAATTAAAGAGAGAAGAGGATATTCTTGGGATTGCAGTGCCACTTTAAACAGGGACGTCGGGAAAGGTCTCACTCAAGAGGTGACGTTTGGGCAAAGATTGGAAGAAGTCAAGTTCGAGATCCATGCAGGTGTCTCAAAGACCTCAGCACGGCCACTGCCACAGCTCTAAGCCTTGGTTTCTAACCGCAGTGTGGTTTCATTCTGTGCTTCTCCCATACTTGACACGTGAGTTCTCTGGAGAAGGCCCCATGTGAGCAGCTCACTGATGAATACACTCCAGAAAGATTTTTTTTTTATGGGTGTTAACATAATTCAACCAAGTACTTCTGAATTTTTCTTGAGAATARCCACATTTGCCTACACCGCTAGCAGCCCACTGGGGCCACTGTGTGGTTGCCCTGGACTTTGTCCAAATTTCTAATTTTTGCCAATATGATGAAAATAAWATAAYACTTCATTTTTTTAAGGGAATCACGTTTTWAAAAATTATTTTTATTATAGTTAAATATATATAAGAATTTTAAGTGTGTCATTCAGTCTCATTAATTACAGTCATAACTTTGTGTATTTCATCATCTCAAATACCATTGCTTTTTAATTTGCATTAGCTTCAGATGCTTTTCCATGCCTTTACATTTGATTTTTTCCTATTCACCATAAGAAAGCAAATTCAACTGGTAAAAGAAAAGAAATCTCTAATTTCTAACATAGCACCATTGCTTAGGAGTCAGACAGCCTTGGATTTGAATCCTAGGTCTTGCTTTACTGGCTGAGTGATGCTGGGAAAGTTACATACTCTGAGTCTCAGTTCCCTTGTTTATAGAATGGAAATAATAGTACTGATTGTTCTAGAGTCTTCTAAATATTAAATTAGATGATAAATGTAATAAATAATAATATTAACTAATATGAATTATTTAACGTTTATTAAATGTGAGTTAATATCGAATACTATTATTAATTGACATTATTATTACTTAGATGCTATTTCATCTGAACCTGCGCTAATGCAAATAGTGGGACAGTGTGGCAACACTGTCCTTCCTACCAAAGGAGTCAATGTCAGGATTTGGAGRAGGAAGAAACAGGATTGAAAAATAATAATTTAAATCTAGAACCAGAAGGAGAAAAAATAGGTTAAACAGCACTCAAACAATAATCTTAAGTRAGGGACAAGGACAGTAGATGAGGATGGGTACTCAAATGGAAGTTCTGTTCCCAGGCTGCGTGCGTGCACACTCCCCAGCAGGAGGAGGAATGGCTCTGTGCTACCTCTGCCCTGCTGGTTCTGCTATACCCACAGACCCTGGAATCTCAAGGATGGCCAGATGCACTTTTTGGGGGGATGGGGGTTCTGATTTTTTGAAATGCTGAGATGTGTTAACACACATTTTGGGTCTTAATCTCATTGATTTGATTGATGGCACTGATATATAAACAACTGACGCTGGCAGATTTCACTGATGTTGTGAGACACATACCCATCGGCAGTTTTACTGAAACTGAGTCAGGTTTTGCTTCCCACTACTATTATCATGGATCCTGCTAYGAGCAGCATAGACCTCAATCACTTCAGGAAGCTGCCAAAATGCAGAMACAAGTCACGCAAAGCAAAACAAAGGAAAAGCACTCATATGTAGGAAAAGTGTTTTCAGTGCAAAACTGAGAATCCAGTAGAATAAACACCTTAATCCAGCCGTTCACTAGCATTTGAAAAAGAAAAATTAATTGCCCCTGCTTGAGTAGTTTTTAAAGCATATTTTTTTTTAAAAAAAAAAAAAAGCTTTTTCTATCCAACTGCTCCTCTAATTGTAGAATTTACTTACTGAAAATGTGTGCTTTGGGTTAGAAAAGAATATTTAGAAATCTTTCGCCAAAAAAGCAAGTGGGAGTGGAAATTTGAAAGAGGACCGCCTAATTCAGCACTAAAACCAGTGTGAGGAGCAGTGTGTGTGTGTGTGTGTGTGTGTGTGACAAAATGCGCTTTTCAAAGGGCTGAGAGGTGGATGGGAATGTTGGCTTAGCTCCTCTGAGAAGAGAAAAGGTGCTTGGACCTCCGCTTGTTTCTTCTTTAGAATAATTTGGATGGAATTTGTGATGCAGAAAAGCTTAAAGAAAAAGGGATAGTCATTCTGTGTGGTGGAAAAATTTTTGCAAAAACTAATTCCTTTCTTCAAACAAGGTACGTCTGATAAATTGCTAAACTATGCATATAGTTGCTTTCCAYTCATGATTATAGAAATGGTAAAATGTATTTGTCATTAAGAAACTAGATTACATACCTTACTAAGTGATCAGTCTGTGTAAATTTTAGTTTCAAGAGAGTTGGGATGGGAGAGGGTGGTGGCATCCTCATAAAAACTAGTAATATTTATATTTATATATGTATATATGTTTATCAGTTATAAATATTGTCAATATTAGGACAAAGTTTTCACTGTTTTTTTTAAGCCAACTTAATGATGGTTAAAATAAGTTGAAAAGCATGACATTTGTATAGAATTTTTAAAGTAATTTACATTTTTCTTGCTTTTTGCAACTTTGCTTCCTGTGATAACAATTGAAAAATTCACGTATGACAGTGTATGAAAAACAGTGTGAGAAATGGGCACAMGGATGCTAAATTAAAAGAGAAATTACTTAATGTGAGTCTGGACCTCTCTCTTCAGGCAGATCTCAGTGGAATGTGGCTTAGATGTGCTTTTCTGTGTCTTGTTTACATTAGAAGTGTTTTCCTAGGCTGAGGGGCTTCTGCTACTGATAAGCCCAAGAAGGGACTGGCATTGTTCAGTCGACCATTGTAGCTCAACTTTGCACAGGAAGACAGGATACAAAAATCTCTTTTAAGCATGATTTGTGTCAAACCAGTATAAACATGAAATAAACGCCCCAAGCCCAGGTTAAACAGAGAGGGTAAGACTGAATAATTGGACATGATCCTTTGCTCCAGACAACCCATAGCATCTTTGCCATCCCCAAACCCAGAGTGGAATTCAAGATTTTCTTGGGGCTTATTGTAAACATTAAACCAGGCATTCTTGGCTGTGGTGGTTGTTCAAAACTCTGTGTGCTCAGAAAATGGTATTTTGCCATTACGTTGTGTTGCAATAAATTTGGAAGTTTTGGTGGTAAAGTTCTGAGGTTGTTTTTCCTTTGGTCTCTTGGAAGATGAAACGCCCTGCAGCAAGACAGGATCAAAGGCTGTTTGTTTGTGTGTTTTCTGTGTGTGTGTGTGTGTGTGTGTGTGTGTGTGTGTGTGTTAGCTGCAAGTAGTAGCTGCCCCTGTAGAAAAACTGGAAGTGCCCATCATTTATTTATTGAATTAAAAGACCGGTTTTGTTGTTGTTGGGTTTGTTTTTTATTTTTYATTTTTTTTGTAAAAGGGCTTTTGTAGGACTGCAATTTTATTGCAGTGCACTACTTTACCAGACTTACTTAAATGTATCTTACATCTCACCCCCGAAAAGTAAGTAACTTAGAAACATTGGAAATGCTTAATATCTGTCCTGAAATAGTGTTTATGAGTGGCATTTAGAAGACCTAATTATCTTTTCCATCAAGTTACAGATCACATGAAGAATAGGCTCTTTCAAAGAAATTACAGCAGGTTTGAGAATGGTTTGTAAATAGTATCGGGAGAACAAAAAGGCTTATGCTGTTCTCAGCTGTAGTTCCTGTAAGACACATGGAGTAGAGGAGAGCAGTGTGGTTGGACCCAATGTGCCAAACCAGGAGTCCTAAATTACAGGACCCACTCTGCGGCTACCTAGCTGGGCTACCTYGGGAAAGGTGTGAGACAGTTCTCCACTTTTTGTTTCCTGCTCTGAAAAATAGAAATAGCCAAGCCTGTACACCTTCTCTCCCAGGGTGGCCATAAGGCTTGATATTGATTCTCAGTTCCAACAAAGTTTTGAAACATGAAAACTTCTATAAAAATGCATTTTCCCATATACTCAAAAAAAGATTCTATTGGGAGGAGTGATTGGTCTTACAAAAAAGACCAATACTTCATATCCTCCAGATGTTCCCATTACATGTCTCCTCGTATACAGCCAGGTTTTAGCAACTATGGGTGCAGACAGAACACATGGGTCTGTTGGTCAAAGGAAGGGCATCTAGCTGTGTGACCTTGGGGAGGTGACTCAGCATCTCTGACCCTCAATTCCTCACATATGAAATGAAGAAGTTGGACAAGGTAGTCTCTATAGTCCCTTCTAAATATATGGTTCTATGCATGGAAATGTCTTCAAAGTCTAAACTGCCCAGGACAATTTCATTGTTAAGAATCTGTATATTACTGAAGACGTATCAAAACAAGGTTATGGAATCTATGATAAGTTTTAAATATTTATGTGTACCTAACTAAAGACTATAATGTATACAAAAATGAATTTTAACTGTATTCTTCACAAGACAATTGAAGGAGATTACGGTGTGTGTGTCTTTTGCTATATATACATATGCATACATGTATCTCACATAGCTTACCAGGGGGTCCAAGTTCCATGACAATCTTCTTTCAGTTTTCTGGTGTATTTCTGTGATTGTCTGCATGACCTCATGTGGAGACAATGTCAAATGTCTAAATTTATGGCCTTTCATGTGATGCCAAGACGAAATGTTGCTCCTAGGCTTTGGACTCTGTGGAGGCTGTTCGGCTGCAGGCTCTGTCATTGCTTACATGTGTTAACTTTAGTCAACTACTTAAAAAAATCTGTGGGCCCAACTTTCTCAACCATGCAAGGGATCTATTGTTAGTGCCTGCCTCACAGAGTTATGGCATAGAGTTGTGGCAAAGGGCTTCAATCTGTGACTGGCACACTGTCAAGCCCCCTACTATTAGCATGTATTTCCTTTATTAAATGTGACTGGAACAAAGAACCCAGATCAGCTGTGCAACCATTCACTTGTAATCATTGTCAAGTTTTTTAAACACCAGCTCTTTGGATATGGGAAGCAAATAGATTTGTGGATTTCTGTGACATGAACATGATTATTGGAAACCAGTTGTCCGTTCTTTATCCAGAGGATCTGAGCTCATCAGTCCTTCAGCAAGTGATCAGCATCAGAGGCAGCTTCTGTGATGACTGTAATTTGAGAATGCCCAAAGGTCCCTTGCCAAGCTTGCTGCCTTCAAGTGTGTCTCCTTCTGATCTGAAGAAGACAGTGAAATTCTGAACCCCCTGAGCACAGCGCATGAGGAAGGGCACAGGGAAGCTGACCGTTTTTTTACTGTCGAGGGCCATCCTTAGGCAAGAGGCAGTGAGACAACTTCTGATTTTCCAGAAAATGGGTCGAGAGAAGCAGAAAACCAGGTGAAGTTAAGATACACATCAGAAGTGACTTTTGATAGTGCTGGTCATTAAATTTTAATTAAAAAAAAAAAGACAAACATAAATCAGTCTGGGATCACCTGCACGAGGTCCTGTTTACAGACGAGAAGGTGAAAGGTTGAAAGGCAAGGAAAACCCCCAGGCGTGCCCAGAGTCACATGTTCACAATGCAGCAAGGACTATTTTTGTTCTGTTTACTGCATTTTCCATGGTTACCTCATTTATAAAATAAACAGTTGTGGACACTGGCTTTAGAATTTGTTTTTAATCAGCTAGAAACTCTTGGGCTTCAACAGACGGCAAACCTTATAAAAACCCTCGGAGACCATCTGAAACTCTCAGGGCTGCCTGGCCAGGGCACAAGAACACACCAGATGATGCTTGAGTGGAGCCACCTATTAAAAACTGCACAACATGTGGCAAACCTGCACATGCGAACCCCCCCMCMCACACACAGATGTTGTGAGTCGGCACAAATGCATGGCCCCATTCCTGAGGGACAAAGGTGATCCCAGGATCCTGGATGCCCAAATCCTTTCCTGAGTCAAATCTCTGATTCAGAATCTTGCCACACAGAAATATTCATTTTCTGTTAATTCCATTTAGAGAGTATTTTTATGTTTTATCCTGATCTTATAATTTAAAAGAAAACATATTTGGATCCACTTCTAGTTTATATCTTTCACTAGATTTTTTTTTTCAGTTCTTTTTAAGATTCGAAGACTACATATCATTCTTCAACCATTGTGGCCAAATGGTACAACTATCGAAAAGATTTTTATGTCAACGGACTGAAGAGACTTACAAATCCTTTGAGTAGAGGAGGACAGAACAAAAACCTTAAGAGTTATCAGTTCTAAATATGAGCTTTGCGGGGGACACAAACATTCAGACCATAGTAGGTTCCTTCACCCAGAAATCCAAGAGCCAAATCATGGCTAACCTTGGACAGCATCTCACTGAGAGATTCAGCTAGTTGTCTGACCTCTGTTAGGTCCTAAACGAGTGTTTGAGTGGGCCACGTTTTATAAGATGGTGGGATGACGATGATGGTGGTGACCATGACGGTGGCAGCAGTGTATGATGAACCACTACTCCTGCAACAGCAAATTAAGTCCTTTTCGTATATGAACCCATTTAATCCTAACAGCAAACAGATGGGTGGGTTGTTACTAACTTCATTATACAGATTTAAAAACAAAAACAAAAAAAACCCTGAAGCAATGAGAAGTTAGTTAAGTTGTCTGAGATCACACAGTTTGTTAGAGAACTCAACTTGAAATCCAAGAAACCGAATTCCAAGCTCACCTTCTTGGTCACACGTGGTCGTGGTTTTTTCTGTCACTGAAAACAGCTCTCAAGCCAAGTCAAATTGATAAGAAAAATATCCTTTCTTACAAGTGGAGACACCTCAGTAATAAGCATGAAGGGAGGTTGGAGGAAGGAACTCACAGGAGATTTGTCGGGGGGAAAGGAGGGTTTTGTTTCTGTCATTCTTGGATGACCTCGTGATTTCAGAACCACTTCCCAGGTGGGTAAGGAGGATCTGACCCTGGGCAGGGGCAGCCTGAGGAGCCTTGATCACAAAGCCCTCTGGGTGGCCTGTCCCCAGAAGGTTTCCTTTATCTTCACTAAGGGTAAAGTCAGCATCTTGTCACAGAAAGAATCACACTTCCTCATGACTCAAACTGCAGCAGAAAGCCACCATCCCTGATAAGGGTCTCCACCGGGACAAGACTCCAGGAAAATTTCTCGAATTCTTTCCCTCCGTTGGAGGAAGGCTAAAGTTTTGTGTGGACTTGTGGCAAATTTTCATAAAAATCACCCTTCAGGCGATTCTGCATTTTTT